GTGTGTACAGGCCAGACCCAGGCCTTCGAGAAAACGTGGCGAGGTGCTCGCCAGTCACGGAGTCCGTACAAATCGCTACAATCTCACCTCAATGGTAGTGACCAACTAAACCTGGAGGACAGCATTACTCACCAAGTTCGTAGCGAACGAGGGGAGGTATAGACCTGTGAGGGAGCCGGAGGGGGCAACTGGACACGGGAGAACAATGGAACCACGTGCAACGACTGGGCCGCCGGAGGGGTCAGCAAGAGTGACAAGGACCGTTGCTGTGAGCGGTGTGACTATGGTGAAGTTTCAGAAGAAGCAGCGAGACGCACCGAAGTCAAGCGTGAAGGTATGGAAAGCCTTTCCAGGAACAGCACCTATGCCAGCAGTCTCACAAACACCTAGACTAGCAGCCTCTACACTACCAATGACTCCACCACCACTAGAAACGCTCAATACCTCCAGTACCAGCACAATCCAGCATGTCTAGATCCGCCACCGGAGCTGCCCCACCAGACAACCCACTCACGAAGCTGATGTGGTGAGGGAGCCTCCTGCCTACTCGGTCGCCGCTGCTGTCTACCCCCAGAGCCTCCAGGAGGAGCACCCCATCGGGCAACCCATTCACGAAGCCGCTGCAGCGATGGAGTCTCTTGCCTACTCGGTCGTCGCTGATGTCTACCCCCACAGCCTCTAGGAGGAGCACCTCACTGGACAACCCACTCTCGAAGGTGCTGCAGTGAGAGGGTCTCCTGCAGACCCTGCTGCCACTTTTGTCCACCCCCAGAGCCTCCGCCTCCACCAACTGCACCACCTGGGCGAGCAGACGCACTGGCACCTACATCCTCCTCTTTGACCAGCTCCAGGACAGTGAGATTGGACATGACGGGCAGCGGCAGTCAGCAGCAGCGGTTCAAGGACGGCGGTAGTTACCACGGCGGCGGCAGCTGTAGTGGCAGTTGCAGGGGCAGCAGTGGTAGGGGCAGGGGTTGCAGCAGTAGGGGTAGCGGCAGCAGCGGCGGCCAATGCAACGGTATCGGGAGTGGCAGCTGTAGCGGGTGCCTATAGCAACATCAGAGGCAGATAGACTGGCAATTGTAGCGGGAGTGGTGGCGGCAGCTGTTGTAGTAACGGTAGCTGTTTTAGTGGCAGGTGTTGCGGCTGTAGCAGCTGTAGTTGTAGCGGGTGCCAGTAGCAGGTAGAGCAGCAACGGCTGTAGCGGCAAGGGCGACTGCAGTAGTGGTAGAAGCTACTGTAGCGGCAATGGCGGCTGCAATAGTGGCAGTAGTGGCTGCAGCGGCAAGGGCGGCTGTAGCGTGGTAGAAGTTGTGGGCCGCCAGGCTGCAAAGCAGGCGGTGGTTAGGACAGGAGCCGACAGGCAATTCGGGCGCACGGCAGGGCAGCATGCATGCGCGTCGCGCAGCAGGCACTCAGCAGGGCAGCCCTTTAGGGCACTTCGCGGGCAGCATTAGAGGCGCGTGCGGGACAGCAAACAAGGCGCGCCCTTGGCAGAGAACGGGGCGCACTTGGGGCATTTGGCGCGCGCGAGGCGGCGCAGATCCAGGCGGCGTGGGCAGTTCGGAGCAGTGTTGATACTACTGACGCGGCAGATTCTTCATGAGAAAATCAGCTGTCATGTCATCTGTTGGGCAGTAGGTTAGGTCAACCTTGCCTTTGTCAACTTCGTCTTTGACGAAGAAGTACCGCAGCGCAATGTGTTTGGTGCGGTTGATGAATATAGGCTTGTTCGCGATTTTGATCGCGCTCTGGTTGTCACAGTGTAGGCAGAAGTTTGGCGAAAATGGAATTTTCGCCTCCTGTAGTAGTTCTTGAAGGTAGTTCTTGAAAGCCCATCCTGGACCGTCGATTGTCGGGATCGGCGGCATGATCAGCATCCACGTAGTTGGCGAGGTTGAAGGATGTGGTTGGGATGGTGGAGTAGCAAAGCCCAGCATTGGGCGTGGAGATGAAGAATTGAAGTGCTCGTTAAAGATTTGGGAGATTGTCAGCCGTTGGTTTGCGGGAATACTGGGCTAGCTGACTCGCGATGTACGAGAGGTCTGGCCTGCAAGTAACAGAGGCGAAAAGCAGGCATCCCAACTGCTGCTGGTAATTCTGAAGCCCAGCTTGGGACAGGGCTTTGTCGTCAAGCTTGTGGTTCGGTCCTAGAGTTCGGTAAGGGGTGGAGAGCGGTGCAGGTGCGATGTTGAAGCGCTTGCCAAGTTCCTCTACACACTTGGCTGCTGAGAGGTCATCACAAAAACCCTATGCCAAGTTTGGACGAATTTTGATTGGGGTTGTCTTCGCGTAAAAAAATCCGGACCCAATTTCGATCGACGGTTGGAATCATTTGATAGGAGCTCCGACAAACATCTCGCGACAAGGTTTGGCTCGGGTCAAGTTTCAAATTGGCACGCGAGCTTTTCCGGATGACATTCGAGCGCAATCCGTTTTGGTGCAATTTCGGTACCAAAATATTAAAAACTGGATTTTGGTTTTGTTTTATTTTGGGTATTAAGGATTTCAGAATTACATTCAATATTCCGGTAAACAACAACCATTATTCAGCATTCTAACAACCAGCAGTTTTAGCACCTGGTCAAATAGCCTAAGCAACCAGGGATTTAGATGAAGTACAGGCAACCCATATCTCCCGAGACATGAGGCATGGGTGTACAGACACATATATACATTCTTACCGAAAACAGGCCCCATGTCTCTATGCGGCTCTTGAACTTGGTGAACACGACCCCGCCCCTCTTGAAGGAGAGCTTGAACGCATAAGCAAACAAGGGGTTGCTGAAGGGCGTTCCGGTGGCCTTGTCAAAGTGCCAGTTGAGGGCCCACTGTTCTGCATTTTGGGAGGGAGCGTACGGGTTGGAAAGAGGGTGCATAGAAATCAAGTGGCTGGGTGAGAGTCTGGGTGAGGAACACCGCACGGTTATTTGTAGCTGCCACCTTGCATATGGGCAGGGGGATATGGTGTGTTCGAGTCGCAGATACCATCCCTGTACTCGGCCAGTAGATCCTCGTGGTTGAACCACTTCTTTGGGTGTAGCTCAGGGGGCAGGGTATCCACCAGATGGGCATAATCGGAGAGGCCCATGCCGGCGTACGTTGCTGGCCTGAGGGTGCTGTTGATTGTGGACCTGGTTGACGACATCTGGTGGTTGAAGACACCCATGGTTGACTTGTCGTTGTGCAACCACATCAGCTTCATTGACTCGAGCCCTTCGGCAGACAAGTGGACAGCGGATGCCTCGAACACTTCCTCCGGTGCAGGGTAGTACTGGATTTTTTCCGGGGGGTTCAGAAACAGGAGCTGAGAGCACACAAAGTAGGCCTTGTTCTGCGCAGGGGTGTGGGGTTTACAACACGACATGGGGAGAGAGAAACCATCAGTTATGACTGTGGCCGCGTGACCACAGGATGGACAGTGTGAACTTTCCACGTCACACCCTCCTCCATCCGCCACATCCACCAGCAACCAGCCCCACGTGCCACGTCACACCCACCCACCCCATGCCACGTCACCCCCCACCCACCTGACACGCGTCACCTCGTCACGTGCCGCTCCCGTGTACCCGTCCAAGCCGCCACGTCAGCCCCAAGCCTCACATCCCGCCACGTCACACCCTCCTCCATCCGCCACGTCAGGGAACAACCAGCCCCACGTGCCACGTCACACCTACCCACCCCATGCCACGTCACCTCGCACCCACCTGACACGCGTCACCTCGTCACGCGCCGCTCCCGTGTACCCGTCCAAGCCGCCACGTCAGCCCCAAGCCTCACATCCCGCCACGTCACACCCTCCTCCATCCGCCACGTCAAGGAACAGCCAGCCCCACGTGCCACGTCACACCCACCCACCCCATGCCACGTCACCCCCCACCCACCTGACACACGTCACCTCGTCACGCGCTGCTCCTGTGTACCCGTCCAAGCCGCCACGTCAGCCCCAAGCCTCACATCCCGCCATGTCACACCCTCCCTCCTCCATCCGCCACGTCAGGGAACAACCAGCCCCACGTGCCACGTCACACCCACCCACCCCATGCCACGTCACCCCCCACCCACGTGACACGCGTCACCTCGTCACGCGCCGCTCCCGTGTACCCGTCCAAGCCGCCACGTCAGCCCCAAGCCTCACATCCCGCCACGTCACACCCTCCTCCATCCGCCACATCAGGGAACAGCCAGCCCCACATGCCACGTCACACCCACCCACCCCATGCCACGTCACCCCCCACCCACCTGACACGCGTCACCTCGTCACGCGCCGCTCCCGTGTACCCGTCCAAGCCGCCACGTCAGCCCCAAGCCTCACATCCCGCCACGTCACACCCTCCCTCCTCCATCCGCCACGTCAGGGAACAACCAGCCCCACGTGCCATGTCACACCCACCCACCCCATGCCACGTCACCCCCCACCCACCTGACACGCGTCACCTCGTCACGCGCTGCTCCCGTGTACCCGTCCAAGCCGCCACGTCAGCCCCAAGCCTCACATCCCACCACGTCACACCCTCCTCCATCCGCCACGTCAGGGAACAACCAGCCCCACGTGCCACGTCACACCCACCCACCCCATGCCACGTCACCCCCCACCCACCTGTCACGCGTCACCTCGTCACGCGCCGCTCCCGTGTACCCTTCCAAGCCCCCACATCAGCCCCAACCTGCCCCATTTGGCCCGCCACATACCGGGAATGGGTTTGTCTCCTGCAACACTAGCACTCGTGCCTTGTCCACGGCACTCATCGGCGGCGGGGCACCAGCCATAGGCGCGGCTGCGAAACCCCCGGCATAACTGGCAGGTACTCCATGACGCAGACCGAGCTGTGCAAACATGGCGTACATCTCAGACCGCAGCGCCTAGAACTCCTCCCGTGTAACAAACTGCTCGTGCTCCGCACTTTCACCTAGGGCACCCATGAGCGGTGGAAAAGGGTGTGAAGAATCCCCCCTCTGGCCAAGGGTTTCAGCATCTTCTTCAGCAGTCCCGTGTGCCCTCACACTATCACGCTGGCGGGAAAAGGGGAGCTCAGGGAAGGGATTGGCAGAAGTGCTTGGCTGATGCCCGCGCGAAGGACCAGCGAGGGGGGAGACCGCCCTGCCCCGGACAAGAGAAGCGTGTAGTGGCTAAAATGGGTATGAGGGTGAGGCCAGTGGAGAGTGCGTGACGGGGCCTGGTGGAGGTGATTCAGATTCCTCTCCTCTTGGCGCACTGGGAGCCGTCGCAGCGACTTTGCTTGGGCCGGAGTACGGCGTGAAGAACCTTGGGGCTCCTGTGGATAGCGGCGTCACACTCGCTCTTCCGGCCCCCTTCGTTAGCTGCATCCGTTGCACGCTTACCGGTGGCCCAATGCCTGTAACGCGAGGGGCTGAGATTTTGAGGGAGTAGGATCAAGAAATTAAAGTCGATCAGTATCAATACAAGGCCAGACAGTCATGCATGAAATCAATGGTTTGAATCTAAATCGGGCTTAGCCGTGTACTGTTTTGAGATAGGAGACTTTACCTTTCTTTGCAGATTCGTCGTCCTTCTCCTTCCCTGCAGGGGAGAAACAGTGTGTAGAATGGTGTTATTTGGCACGGTTGAGCAAAGAGTGCAACAACCACGCCTGGTCTATTGGCCAGGGTGCTCACCTTTCTGCTGTCCCTTTGGTTTTTTTGGGGCTAGCGCCTTCTCGTTGCCACCTTTCCGCGGGGTGCTTTGACGGCCGCTGCGACGTTTACCGGCAGGTTCTTTCTTGCCAGTACCCAATGGAACCCCTTTGGCGCCGCCACCCTTACCTCCTCCATCCCCCTTTGCTCCCTGGTGCCCTTGCTTTTTACCACCCCCTTCACTTTCGACCTTCACCTTACGCGCCTTCGGTCTGCCAGCTGTTGCGCCGCGCGCAGCGTCAACTGCCCCGCGTTTTCGGGAATGGCGAGTCTGGCCCCCCACCTTCCCTGTACCACTCTGCCGTTTGCCACGCCCGCCCCGTCCCTTCACTGGCTCCACATCCTCCTCCTCCTCCTCCTCCTCCTCCTCCTCCTCCTCCTCCTCCTCTGCTGCCTCCTCCTCCTCCTCCTCCTCCCCCTCCTCCTCCTCCTCCTCCTCCTCCTCATCCTCCTCTTTGTCCTCCCCGCCATCATTCTCATCTTTTTCATCCTCCCCAACATCCGCGTCATCCTCCTCCGCATCCTCTTCATCCTCCTCTTCCTCCGCATCCTCCTCCTCATCCTCCTCCTCCTCCGCATCACCAGGGTGTTCATCGCCCCGTTTCTGCCTCGTCCCCGTCACTGCTTTCTTGCCTTTCCTTCCGCCGGATGTTTTTCTTGCTGCGGGTTGGCCCTTCTGGCGCAATGCCTGACCGCCCGCCTTGCCAGTAGCTTCCGTGGCGCCTCGCGTTGTCCCAACTTCCACGCCTCCAGCGTCGTCAGCACTGCCTGTCGTCTGCCGCCTCTTCGCCCGCATGGTGAGGTCTCCGGGCACGGCGGTGTCATAACCGTCCTCCCCATCGCTCCTCCTCTGCCTACGCCTCCCCCGTCCAACAGAAGGAGGAGAGCCACCGACCTGCCCCTCCGACTCGTGCTCCACCACCTTGTCCTTATCCAGCATGGCTGCAGAAACTTCGACCACGGTCGGCTGGAGCAGCGTTAGATGGTGTTGCGACCAAGCCGCCTCGGATTCCTTGGTTGCGGCATGCTCGGCGACGGGATCGCCTCCGTGGTTTCCCCCTGTCGTCGATCCCTCTATCTCCGCCGACGGGACTGCAAGACTCGCGCTTTCTCGCCCCGTATCTTTGTTGCCGCCAGTGGTGCCGTCGTTACTCGGACCGGGCTCGGTTCCAGAAGAGGCAACATCCGCTTCTTTGCGCACTGTAGAAACAAACTTGCGTGGCTTTGGTTTAGGCCCCTTGTCTTCGGCTTTCTTGCTGGACTCCTCTTGACCGCGCACGACCGTTTTTGGCGCCGCTTTTTTCTGCCCAATGCCTGGCGCGACGTACGCATCAGTTTTTTTAGTGCCGCCACCGCTCTCCCTATTCATCTGTTGAGACGTCCTCTTTGTCGCGCGGCGGCCGGCCTGTTCCTCAACCATTGCTTGGTTACGTGTTGCACGAGTCATGGTCGTTGTAGGAAAGCAAATTAGCACATCGCGCGGAAGGGTTGTGCCGGTTTCGAAGGGGTACTGCAACGGAATCTCAGGATGGGATTATCAACGGTCGATCACTGTTATCTGTATCCGAGAACCGCCGCTTCATCAACAACTGAACTAGTAGCCACTAAGCAGAGAGCTATGGCCGCGACGGAGAGGCGTGTGTCAAACAGCGAGCAGCGTCAAAGTGTTGGACCAGGGAGAGACGGAAGCAGGTGGGTGGGGCACGAGGGTGGTTGGGGTGGGTTGCGAGACTAGAGAGATTACTGTAACCCTACCAGGCTATATCGGACGGTGTACGTGTAGCCACCCTAGCATAAACCCACCTACCGCTCGATCTCAGCCGCTCATTGGCTGAAATACCTCTTGGCTGGTGATTGTGTTGCGGGCCAACTCGTTTGAGATGCGTCGGCCAATCACGGTTGCCAACGCATCAATCACTACAAAGGGTACAATGGGTGTGAAACGCCAAGTGAGAAATTAGTAAAATCCCTGCAAAGTACAGTGTTGTCGCGAACGAACAGTGTTGCACATAGCAGCTAAATCAAATTCAAACATACAACAATAGATTTCATCAACGACTTAGTTGCAAATGGTTTAGTATGGGGATGGGGTAAGTTAATCGGTGATTCTCGCGTCACACACATGTACTGCGCACTTGTAGGCTTTGCCACATCGGTTTATCGATAGCGGGCGACATTCTAACATGATTATCAATAGTAAACGAGAATCATTTGTGGTATGGTAATGGATCGTAATCCATTCTTGCACGGACATTCAACAAGTTGCTTAGACGGAGTGGTATGGAGCACAGGCCCTGCGCACAAGCGGTGATGTGTTATCGACAGCCATGTTTAGACTGTGCGACGATGCAGCGTTCAGGCCTGCCCACGTTGCACGACATGGTGAATCCGTTTCCGTATGGTGATGGATCGTCATGCATTCTTGCACGGACATTCAACAAGGTTCTTAGAGGGAGTGGTATGAAGCACAGGCCCTGCGCACAAGCGGCGATGCGTTATCGGCAGCCATGTTTAGACTGGGCGACGATGCAGCTGGGGTTGCGCGACACGGTGAATCCGTTGTGGTTTGGCGTTGTATTGTCATCCATTCTTGCACAGACATTAAACAAGGTGCCCAAAAGGAGTGGTATGAAGCACAGGCCCAACGCAGAAGCGTAGATGCGTTCTCGACAGCAGTGTTTAGACAGTGCGACGATGCCGCGTTCCAGCCTGTGTGTTGCGCGAGACGGTGAATCCGTTGTGGTTTGGCGTTGGATTGTTATCCATTCTTGCACAGACATCAAACAAGGTGCCCAGAAGGAGTGGTATGAAGCACAGGCCCAACGCACAAGCGTAGATGCGTTCTCGACAGCAGTGTTTAGACAGTGCGACGATGTCGCGTTCCGAACTGTGTGTTGCGCGACACGGTGAATCCGTTGTGGTTTGGCGTTGGATTGTTATCCATTCTTGTACAGACATTAAACAAGGTGCCCAAAAGGAGTGGTATGAAGCACAGGCCCAACGCACAAGCGTAGATGCGTTCTCGACAGCAGTGTTTAGACAGTGCGACGATGTCGCGTTCCGGCCTGTGTGTTGCGCGACACGGTGAATCCGTTGTGGTTTGGTGTTGGATTGTCATCCATTCTTGCACAGACATTAAACAAGGTGCCCAGAAGGAGTGGTATGAAGCACAGGCCCAATGCACAAGCGTAGATGCGTTCTCGACAGCAGTGTTTAGACAGAGCGACGATGCCGCGTTCTGGCCTGTGTGTTGCGCGACACGGTGAATCCGTTGTGGTTTGGTGTTGGATTGTCATCCATTCTTGCACAGACATTAAACAAGGTGCCCAGAAGGAGTGGTATGAAGCACAGGCCCAACGCACAAGTGTAGATGCATTCTCGGCAGTAGTGTTTAGACAGTGCGACGATGCCGCGTTTTGGCCTGTGTGTTGCGCGACACGGTCAATCCGTTGTGGTTTGACGTTGGATTGTCATCCATTCTTGCACAGACATTAAACAAGGTGCCCACAAGGAGTGGTATGAAGCACAGGCCCAACGCACAAGCGTAGATGCGTTCTCGACATCGCTGTTCCGACGCGACGACGTTGCAGCGTTCATGCCCGTCGCTTACGTGACATGGTGAATCCGTTGTGGAATGGTGTTGCTTCCCAAATGGTTGCAGACCACAGTAACGGTGTTGTTTCTAAGCACTACCGTTGCCAATATGCCGGAAGGTATTGAGCATGCCGTACAGTATGGTCGTATAATCGTTATGAGTGACATTAAGTAATTTTGTGATTGTGGAAAACTGAACAAGAATGAGTGCACTATGAAATGAAGTGAGTACAAATATGAAACCCTAATTGGGTTGTACCCCCTATGGGATACCCCACTATAGCCTACAGAAAAGAGTAAGTTATAATGTTCTGACACACCCCCATAGGCAAAGTGGGGAGAACAAGGGGTCACAAGACCAGTCAAGCAAAGCAAAGCAAAGCTCAGGGTGGATCACAAAGTCACCACACATTCCGAGCACAAGTTCAAGGGCCACAAGGCCAGTTCACATACAAGATCATATATAAAGATATACAAGAGTCAAGCAAGTAAGAGCAAGAGTATATATAGGTGAAGGTACAAGCAAAGTCAAGAAGTGAGCAAGTGAGGCAAGACAGGCACAAGACCCAGCTGCGTGCAGAAGCGCTGATGATCACAAGGCGCAAGTACCTTGGTGAAGATATCAGCAGTGTTGGCCTCAGAGGCCACGTACGCAAGTCGCAACTGTCCACGCTGCTGTAGCTCACGAGCAAGAAAGTAGCGGAGAGCAATGTGCTTTGTTCTGTGCTCCAGTCGCTGCTCTCGACACAAGGCCAGCATGGCCTTGTTGTCTACGTACAGGACTGGAGGAGAACGAGGCGGCTCTCCAAGGTCGGACAGCAGGTAGGTGAGCCAGCGTAACTCCTGTGCAGCCATAGCCCCGGCGTAGATCTCAGCCTCACAACTGGAGCCGAGAACAGAAGACGAGCGGGTAGCCCGCCACAAAACAGAGCCGGAACCAAGGCTGAAGGTGTAATCCTGTGACGACCGCTGCGTAGCCTGGTCGTCAGCCCAAGAAGCGTCCGCGTGCCTAGTGAGGACCATTGGACTGCACCCTCCAAGCACTAGCCCCATGCCCGACGTACTGCACAAGTAGCGCAACACCCTCTTCGCTGCAGCCATGTGCTCTGGTCGGTGTCTCCCAGGAGCAACATAGCGTGCGAGAATGCTAAGAGGGTATGCAAGGTCAGGTCGTGTGCAGGTCATCAGGTACATGAGGCGGGGCCGCGAATCAGGGGCGGCGGGGCCAGGAGCGCTGGGGCGGCGGGGCCGCGTAACAGGGGCGGCGAGGCCGGGAGCGCTGGGGCGGCGGGGCCGCGAGATCAGGGGCGGCGGGGCCATGAGCGCTGGGGCGGCGGGGTCGTGAGATCAGGGACGGCGGGGGGCCGCGAGTGCTTGGGCGGCGGGGCCGCGTATCAGGGGCGGCGGGGCCGCGAGATCAGGGGCGGCGGGGCCGGGAGCGCTGGGGCGGCGGGGCCGCGAGATCAGGGACGGCGAGCGCTTGGGCGGCGGGGCCGCGAGAGAAGAGGCGGCGGGGCCGCGTTCACTGGGTGGCGGGGCCGCGAGGGTAAGGCCGGCCGCTAGGGCGGCTCGGGGAAGGAGTGGCCCGAGGCGCGACTCGGGATGAGTGCGCTTCGGGCAGGAAAAAAAAAAATTCGAGTGGTGGGCCCTAGGCACAGTTCCCACAAAGGAACCTGCTCTATACCATGTGGAAAACTGAACGAGAATGAGTGCACTATGAAATGAAGTGAGTACAAATATGAAACCCTAATTGGGTTGTACCCCCTATGGGATACCCCACTATAGCCTACAGGAAAAGAGTAAGCTATAATGTTCTGACTGTGATATGTAAGTGTACAATGGTATTACTTGGTAATGATTAAGGCTATGGGGGTGGGCACTACTTTGGGCACACCTACGTGATCGCGATCTCCCCCCTATAGAGACTCTCGAAAGAATCACAACACCAAACAGATCTCTTCCCTCTCTTCCTCTCCCACCTCGACTCTCACACACGATTCAAAAACCGAAGTTTTGAATATGGAGACACGTACTCCTCACCGTGCTCGTCACGCACGCTTGCGACCAAGCTAGCCATACACCACTGCATAAGGCCCTGCTCACGTCGTAATCACTCTAATAGGGGGCGACACGCCTTGTAGAGAAGGCCTATGCCGTGCTGTCGGCGGTCTGTATCTAGGCTTGTCACGGCCGCGCTGTGCGACCATTGTTAGCCAGTCTCTCACAAATGCGCCACGATCAAGTGCCAGGCGTGCAAAGATCCAAGCCGCCGTGGACACTTCGCGCTGTGGCGATGACCGTGCTGGAGTTTGAGCCTTCATTGACCGTGAAGTAAAAGTGTTTACA